TCCGCTAGGTGTTTCCAAGATTGTATAATCGCGCCGGTCTCTTGCACTTCACATCATGGGAGACATCATTACCGGACATAATTAGAACTCGTTCTATTAGTCAACATCTAATAAGCGCCAACGGAAGATGATGGTCAATTAATTTAATACCGCTGGAGCATGGTTATGCCATTCTTGTAGAATAATGGTTGGTTTTTTAAGGAAGATCTTATATTTTAAATTTTAATTCAATTTTTTAATGTTTTTTTTTTCTTGATCTCGAATTTTTTTTAATTGGGATGTCTGGATTATATGTGGGAATCTTTGAAATTCAATTCAAACAGAATCCAATTTATTTAATTTGGATCGACTTATGGGTATATAGGGTAAGAAAAAAACGGCAACAAAGTCAAACGCCATAATTTTCACATTTTTTAAAAAAAAAAGCAAAAATATCGGAAATAACATCAAATTGTAGAATAAGTATAGATTTGATCGAATTGGTCACCTTTAAGCCGCCAATGAAACCGTCATACGGTGCCCGAATGTTGCTCTGCGGTATTTTGGCCCATTCCCGGCGAAGCGCTTGCTTGAGGTGATCAACACTTTGGCATTTTTTAGTGCCAACCTTGCTTTCCAAAATACTCCAGACAGATAAATCTAACGGATTGGTATCCGGAGATTTCGGTGGCCATTGTGCGCTGGAATTGAATTAAGGAACCTCATTTTGTAACCATTCTTGGGTAGCGGGTGCTGAGTGCGATGGTGCTAAGTCCTGTCATGGAATGTCCAAGGTCTGCGGCCAAAATGTTTGCGTGCCCAAGGCTTTAATACACCCTCCAGAATATTTTCGCGATAATATTCGGGATTTATTCTGATGCCACGGAGAGCGAGCGGCCTACACCATCACCATGGCCGGCGCCTTTGTTTTGGTGGCCAACCGAAGGTGCACATTTTTTTGTTTCTTTACAAACTGCTGGACAACGAATGTATTCTCATCGGAGAAAACCAAATTCGGCAGTTCACCACTTTCGGCGATGGGAAGCAATACTTTAGCTCTTTTGAGTCTATTTTCTTTCTGTTGCGGTGTAAGTTCTTGCATTTTTTGGGATTTCAATGGCTTTAACCCAGCTCATTTTTCAATATTTGCCGAATGCAATATTGCGCTTTGTTCAGTTCACGAGCCATATTTCGGCGACGCGGGTTTTGACCAAGTCTCTTCTTTACTTTTCGAACCATTTCTGCTGATTTTGCTGTTTTCTTCCGTCCATTTCCTTGACGTCGGGCTACGCTACAAGTATCACGGTAACGAGCGATGGTACGAGACACAAAAGATTTATACACATTTAAATGCAGGAGTGCTCTAACGATAGTCTTGTTGTTTTCCAGCCATTCCAGAATTCCATCACGAAAAACTTTTTTCTGGAAAATCCTCACCAAAATGCTTTTTTATGCTTGTAAACAATGTAATGAGCTGTCACTGGAATAATTTTAACAGCTGTCGGACGAGTGGCTTAGAAATAATAGCAGTCTGAAGTTGGTTGCAGTTTTTTTATTTCACCCTGTATATGGGAGCTATAGCTATATCTGAACAGATTTTCCCCAAATTTGATGTACTTGCTTCTAGGCTCAATTCGGTGGGATGTGCCAAAATTCAGGTCATTTGGAGTGATATTGGCCATTGATCGGTTGATTGATTGATCGATTGAAGAAATATGGAAGTTATATCTAAATGTGATCCGATTATCACCATCCCTCTGTACATGTATTCTTGTGAACAAAATGCAGGTCAAATTTATTATCCGATTGAGATGAAATTTTCCATGCAATATTTGTTGTCCCAAGGACGAATCCTATTGAAGTTAGTGAGAATCCGTTTAAATTTAGATATAGCTCCCACATGTATCTTCAACGGATTTCTGCACCAAATGGCCAATATAAGTCCAAATGACCTGAATATTGGCAAATCTGACATAATTCAGTCTAGAAGCAAGTCCATCAAAGCTATAGCTCCCATATATATGTTTTATCTGATTTGGGGTTTAAGTCCCTCACATTCGTAATATGCATTCGACAAAAATGATATTTGGTACCAGATATCAGATGCAGCCCAGAAATACCTCTGCCAAATGTTATCAAGATCGGTTCAGATTAAGATATAGTTCCCATACATATATTCAACCGATTTTGGGTTATTTGTGCACCAAATGGCCAATATCCATCCAAATTACCTGAATTTTGGCACATCCGAACGAATTCAGTCTAAAAGCAAGTACATCAAATTTGAAGAAAACCGGTTCAGATATAGCTTTAGTATATATCCTTCATTCGATTTGGGGTTTAAGTCCCTCATTCTATAGCAATGTTATTTGGTATAAAATATTAAAATGTAGGGTGTCATACAGTCGGTCCCGACCGACTTTTCCTTACTGGTTATCTTTCACGGATTTCACGCTCTCCTTGGGAAATTAAGATTAGAATAATGTTAATTTGTTTCAAATTGTTTGCATTTTACGACATATAATGAGCTCATAATCATCACTACCAAAAAGCAGATTCTCCCTCTTTATCTGCAAAAAATTGCCACCATATAACCACATTTTTGATGGCTTTAGAGTATTTCAATGATTTTTCATCGTGCAAGAAATAATTGGGTGTTACTCTCATAATTGTCTTTGTTTTTAATAATTTGTTTGTCACAATTGTGATTTGAACCATTAACCTTCTGGTGCACAATGTGTCAAAACAATGCATAGCAAAATAAGTAGGAAAAGAAATGAAGAAGCACATCATCAGCACGTGTTTTATACATTGTATGATCGGCCATCGATCTGAGAGTAGACTTCCAAAGAAAATGACCTTATATTGCATCAGTCGGTTTTCTATTATCAGGTACTTTATTAAAAAAAAAAAAAAAAAAAACAAGTAAAAAAAATCTGAAAAATCTTGGAAAAAATTTGGCAATTTTCAAAAAAAAAAAATAAAATCTGTGAAAAATTTTGTTGAAATCTTAAAAATACCATCAAAATAGCGAATATCGGGAGGTACCGTTATATTGAGGCTATTCGAAGACGTGGGTCTGCACAGACGATTTTCTGTTATAGACTGTAGTACCCATTACGAACTCCAAATACCAAATTTGAAACAATTGCCGTGAAAAATGTCGCTAAAATCATCAAAATACCGAATATCGGGAGGTACCGTTATATGGGGGCTATACGAAGACGTGGACCTGAATAGACAATCTCCTGTCATAGGCTGTACTATCCATTACGAACTTTAAATGCCAAATTTGAAACAATTCCGGTAAATAATAATCGCCAAAATACCGAAAAAAGGAGGTACCATTATATGGAGGTTATAGCAAAACGTGGACCAACATGGCCCATTTTCATTGCCAAAGTCCTGCAAACATAATACACATTTGAGTAAAATGTTATCAACCTACTTCCTTTCGTTCGGAAGCTAGAGTGATTTCCACAGACGGATAGAGGGACATCGCCAAATCGGAGGGTATAAAAACGAACAAAAAACCTAAGAGGTATTTACAGGTCAATCTTTAAGACGAGCCAAGTTTCTATAAACGAGCTCTCAGGGAGTTTTCATAGACGAGAAGGTAATCTCTATAGATGAACTCCGAAGGCATGGAGTCTTTATATACGACCTGCGATGAAGGGAGCTGCACAGTCAGAAATTCTCTATAAACGAGCTCTCAATAGATAAGTCTTAAATCAAGAAGTCTCTATAGACGAGCTGTGAATGCAGGGAGTCGTATAGTCGAGCGGTGAATGCAGAGAGTCTCTATAGACGAGCTAAAGGCAGTGGGTCTCTATAGAACAGCTGTAAAGGCATAGAGTCTCCATAGACGAGGCTGAAGGCAGGGTGTCTCAATAGGCGAGTCTGAAGGAAAGTAGTTTCTGTAGCAAGCTGTGAGGCAGGGAATCTCTATAGATGAGCTGTGAAGGCAGAGAGTCTCTATAGACGAGCTGTGAAGGCAGAGAGTCTCTATAGACGAGCTCTGAAGGCAGAAAGTCTCTATAGACGAGCTGTGAAGGCCGGGAGTCTTTATAGACAATCTGTGAATGCAGAAAGTCTCTATAGATGAGCTGTGAAGGAAGGGAGTCTCTATTGACGAGCTGATGGCAGAGAGTCTCCATAGACGACTTTGAATGCAGGGGGTCTTTATAGACGATTCTAAAGGAATGGAGTCTCTATAGACGAGTTCGGGGGTAGGGAGTCTCTATAGACGCGTCTGAAGGCCGGGAGTCTTTATAGACAATCTGTGAATGCAGGGAATCTCCATAGGCAAGCTGTGAAGGCAGGAATAGATGAACTAACGGGCTGAACACACAAGAAGTCTCTATAGACAAGCTGTAAAGGTAGGGAGGTTCTATAGACGTGATGCGAAGGCAGGGAGTCTCTATAGAAGAGCTGTGAAGGCATGGAATATCTATAAACGATTTGTGAACGCAGGGAGTCTCTATAGACGACTCTGAAGGCAGGGAGTCCCTATAGACAAGCTATGAAGGCAGGGAATCTCTATAGACGAGCTGTGAAGTCTGGGAGTCTTTATAGACGATCTAAAGGCATGGAGTCTTTATGGAAGAGTTTGAAGGCAGGAAGTCCTGTATAGACGAGCCGATGGAATTTTTCTTGGCCGAATATAAGGTTTACAATTATTCTAAAGAGATCTACATAATAAATAAAATTGACTGCAAACAAGAATAATTTCAGATTTTTGATCATCTTGTCCTCCGTTATGTTGCAGATGGAAAATAACATTTATAGTTTTTAAATTAATTATTTTTTATTACAACTTCTTTTTTCGTATCAAAAATATTTTATATAATTTTTTATAACTAATATCACGTTGGCAAAATCGGCAACATAGCGAAATTTTATAAATTCGTTGATCTAGTTAAAATCTACCCTCATAATTAAAATATTTTAAATTATCCCATAGCAAATATATATTCATACATAATTATTCTAAAAATAAAATATAATTATATACTAAGGAATCCTATGGGAAATAAAACGTCTGTTTTAATTAAATTGATCCTGACTTGGACATATTTGATGTCTCATATGTTTCAATAGGCCACATTATGTCCCACAACTAAGCAAGTGCCTTCCATGGCATAACATCTGACAGCTGCTGACAAGGCTACTATTTCCCATAGGATATTAAGTTAAAACAACCCCAATAGCTACTTAAAACTACATTCTTTGTACATCTCCTGTGCTTAAGAAGTTATTCAAATCCCAGCTGAGGCAGCCATCACAAAATTTATTAAAAGGAAATAAATTCAAAATTGGCCAGCCACTTCAATATCACACACCCACCCATCAGTATTTATAGGTGGTGAAATTTAAATATTTCACCAACATATGATTGATGTATTGAAAGATGCGATTTGTGGCACCGTTCGATGCGGACAAACGATGTTTGATTAGCACAAAAGCCAGCGAGGTACAGACGATGTAATAGATTACCAAAAAGAATATCGAGGACCAATAGTTAAGATTGACATAGCCCAAGATTTCACGCAAGAATTTGGCATTTTTGAATAGGCACAGGACCTCCGTCGGTGGGCAAATGGTGTCCGCACGATTATAGCCATACAATGTTTCCACCAAGGCTTCCATGCTGTGGCGCAAATAACTGAAGTTCATAATGAAACGCATAAACGGTGAAATATCACGGCCATAACCAATGCCATAACAGGAGAGCAGGATCAGCGGCACAGCCATTACGGGGCCCATGAACATGGCATTCTGGAAGGGAGGGAAATATATATTTTTTAATATTTCAATTTCTTCTCATTTCTTTGCTTTTTTACTTACCACCAAACTCAGCCTCGAAGATACCAACATACCCACACTATCCGATATCTGGGCCGTTAGTATGGCCACCAGAAAGAGCATGGCAAAACGAAATAATTCTAAAGGCTGATTTGACATCAAATAGACCATGGTTAAGTAAATGACGGCCAACAGGAACATATAGGGAAAGCGAGAAGTGATCATGGCCAGATAATAGGAACTCAGATTGTACCATTGATTGAAATATTCCCGCTTCAAGAGCTTCATTTCCGTGGGAACTAAAAAAAATATCAAAAATTTAAATAAATTACAAACTCAAAATCCCTCGCCTCCCTCCATCTCTCCACTTACATTGGGCCAACACCGGCATCAGAGGCAAATACAGGTACGCTATCACAATGGTAAAGGCAAATCCAAAATTAAACAACGCCTTACTGGCATCATTGCCCACACCCACATAGATACCGCCCACAATCAGCCCCAGAATGATATTCATGTAAAATCTTAATTTAATATAGGATTTATCACGCCACATTTTCGTCACCATATGATGCAGGAGTATACGATATTGCAGCCACCAGGAACAGTGAGACTGCAGAGCCTTTTTATCAATTTCCATTTCAAATTGTTCCAATTCATTGAGTGACGATGCACCCGATGATGCTCCCGATGTGGTGTTGGATGTTGTCGGCGATATTGATTTCATTTCCGAATAGCGGCTGTTCGGCATCCAACGATAAACATTGCCATTATCGATGGCATTCACCATCTGCTTGTGATAGTCACCGTACTCGCGACATGCCACCTCAATAACTGGAAAGATAAAGAAGATGGGAAAAGAACATTAAAAAAATTATGAAAAATTAAATTCTGCACTTAAATGATTAGCAGAGAGTACCATCTGAAGTACAACAAATGGTACCCCGGATTCTCTAATGGCAAAAGAAAGAGTCTCGAAAGACGAGCGAAAGAGTCTCTGTAGATGAGCGAGATAGTCTCTTTAGATGACCGAGAGAGATAGAGTCTCTATAGATGAGCTGAAGGCAGGGAGTCTCTGTAGACGAGCTCTAAGCTCTCTGCCTACACAGCTCGTCTTTAGAGTCGGCAGGGAGACTGTGTAGCTGTGTAGGCAGAGAGTCTCTAAAAAGCTGAAGGCTGGGAGAGCTAAGACAGGCTGTGAAAGCAGAGAGACTCTATAGACCAGCCGAAGGCAGGGATTCTATATAGAAGAGCTATGAAGGCAGAAAATCTCTATAGACGAGCTGTGAAGGGAGTCGCTATTGACGAGCTGTAAAAGGGAGTCTCTATTGACGAGCTGTTAAGGCAGGGAGGCTCTATGAAGAACTGTGAAGGAAGGGAGTCCTCAATAGACAAGCTGGAGGCAGAGAGTTGTGAAGGCAGAGAGCCTCTGTAGACAACCTGTGACGGCATGGAGTCTCTATAAACGAGTTAAACAAGGAGTCCTCTATAGGTGAGCTGAAGACGAGCTGTGAAGTCAGAGAGTCTCTGTAGACGAGCTGTGGAAGCAGGGAGTCTCTATATACGAGCTGTGAATGCAGGGAGTCTCTATAGACGATTTGAAGCAGGTAGTCCCCTATAGACGAGCCGAAGGAGAGAGTCTTTATAAACGAGCTGTGAAGGTAGGAAGTCTCCATAGGGCAAATTTATAAAAGAAGAGCAAGGCTAATTTATGACGAACTGGGGGTGAATTTTTGATGAGCATGTGGCAAATTACTAAAAGAAGAGAAGGTCCAATTGATGAGGAAAAGGCGGCGATTCTTTTTTTTATGAGTATGAGGACATCTTCACTGACGAGGCCAATTGTTTAGTTTTTGTCAGTCATCTTGGTTCTATGTGACATGTCTAGATCATTCGTTATTTTAAATTTGTTTGTGACATAAGGGTTAAGAGTTAAAGTGAAATTTGCTTCACACATATAAAGCATACTTTTAGGATTTCTGTAAAATCAAATGTGAACTCTACATATAAGATGAGAGATTCAATATACAATGAAACCGTCACATACTGCCCGAATTTTGCTCTGCGGTATTTTGGCAAATTCTCGGTGAAGAGTTTGCTTGAAGTGATCGACACTTTGGTATTTTTTTTATTGCCAACCTTGCTTTCCAAAATACTCCAGACACAATAGTCCAACCGATTGGTATCCTGTGATTTTGGTAGCCGTTGTGCGCTGGAAGGAACATCATTTTGTAACCATTCTTGGGTGGTGCGTTCTGAGTGCTGTTGGTATGCCCAAGTCTGCGGCCAAAATGTTTGCGTGCCCAAGGCTTTAATACACCCTCCAGAATATGTTCGCGATAATATTCGGCATTTATTCTGATGCCACGGTCGATTAATACGAGCGAAAAGTGACCATCAGCTGTTAGGGCGGCCAACGGCCGCCGGCTGCGCTTTAGTTCTGTTGGCCAACCGTAGGTCCACATTTTCAGCTGACCTCTTTGGCGTTTAAACACGATCATTTTGTTTGTTTACAAACTGCTCATCGGAAAAACCTTTACCCCGAGCTCATTTTTCAATATTTGCCGAATGGAATATTGCAATATGTTAAGCTCACGAGTCATTTTTCGGCCATTGTGATACGGGTTTCGATCACAAGTCGTTTCTTTACTTTTCGAACTATTTTTGCTGATGTTGCTGTTTTTTTCCGTCCACTTCCTTGACGTCGGGCTACGCTACCAGTATCACGGTAACGAGCGATGGTACGAGATGGTACAAAAGATTCACATTTGCTCTAACGTGCTCTAACGATAGCCACTTGTGGTTTTCTAGCCAAATATATATATTATAAATAGCAGCAGTATGAAGTTTGTTGCAGTTTTTACATCTCACCCTCTAGCCATATGACTTAGGGTAAAAAAATCTTGTGTGTACCTGAACATTTTGGCATTTTTTTAATTGATTGGAATATATTGTCAGGCCCTCACATAATCAAAAGAATTTTTCATCGAATTTTTAGAAAGCCTACCGAGCTATTAGTCCTTTAAATCTATGACTGAAAATCAACGATAACAGCTGTTTATAATATTCGTATTCCTTATAGCACTCATGGCCTTTGAATAACATTCCTTAGAAATCCATATTTATAGTCCTTGGAAAAATAATCTTTGAAAAAACCCAAGTAGAGGGCTCTTAAGGTCCTTGAAAAATATATTCTTAAAAACCCACACTTATAGCTCTTATGGTCTTCGACAAAATATTCATCTACGGCTATAGTTCTACTAAAAGAATATTCTAAGAAAAACTCAACGTTCATTGACGAAATATTGGTCCGCGACAAAATATTCTCAAAAAAATATAGGTTTTTAGCTCTTGTGGTTCTTAAAAAAATTCAAGTTTATAGCTCTTATGGTTCTTGAAAAAAATTTTCTTAAAATATCCTCATCCATAGCCCTTGTGGTTTTAAAAAAAAAATATTTGTAAAGCATCCACTTTTATAGCTCTTACGGTCGCCAGTCGACAAACACGCCACCAAATTATTTGTGGTTTTCTCCAATCGCAACATATTCAATATTTCTTAAAGAAATATTCTTAAATGTTCCTTTAAGGCTCTTATGGTCCTTGAATTAATACTGTAAAAAAGTCCAAGTTTATTCCTCTTGTAGTCCTTGACAAAAAAGTTTTAAAAGCCTTGAAAGTTTTTTTTTGTGTTCCTTGAAACAAACTTTCTTAAAAAATCCACTTGTAATCCTTGAAAAAAATATCCTTAAAAATCACATTAAAGACTCTCATGGTCCTTGAGAAAAAAATATTCTTAAAATTCCACAACTACACCCGAAAAAAAATTCTAAAAAATAATAGAATTTCGAAACCCCTTGAGCCCTAGTCTAGACATGCTATTCAAAATCTTTCTTAAAAATCCAACATTTATATCTTCTGTAATCCTTGAAAAAAAAAAATATCCTTAAAAAATCAGATTTAAGGCTCCCATGGTCCTTGAGAAACAGTATTCTTAAAATTCCACCCAAAAAAATTATAAAAAAAAATAATAGAATTTCGAAACCCCTTTGAGCCCTTGTCTACGAGCAGACACGCTATTCAACTAGTCACATAGGTAGCAATAAAACATTTAATAAAATGACCATTTAATATTTTAATTACCGGTCGGCCACACTTCGTTAGTGACCCACTAACTGAGAACAGCATTTAACGGAGCACCATAATTATATAGTCTCTCAAAAACACAAATAAATTCAATTTATCATGCAAAGTAAAAAAACACAACACCTTAATTTGACAACTTAAGTAGCTATTAAATTTAAATTAATCTGTATTTACGTTAGCAATTTTTATATACTTACAAAAATCAGCTGGATTATAGGTTATGGGACATGATAGTCCAATTTCCTTTAGATACGGCACAATGTTGCCCACACTGCCCTGATAAACGCATTGACCCTCAGCCAAGACATAAACCTTGTCGAACATTTGAAAGAGTTTGGCAGGCGGTGTGTGAATCGAACATATTATTGTACGTCCCGAATGGGCTAGGCGGCGTAGCAGCGACACACACTGGGAACTGGAGAGATCATCTAAACCTCTGCAAAGACACACAAATTATTAAAAATTCATTTCAATAATCTCCAAAACGAAACTTACGTTGTTGGCTCATCGAGAAACAGCACCGGCGGATTATTCACCAACTCCATGGCAACACACAGGCGTTTTCGTTCACCACCCGACAAACGTGCCGCCACAGTATTCGCCGTCTTCTCCAATCGCAACATATTCAAAATTTCCTCGATAATTTCCAATTTTTGCTGCCGATTGAATTCACTGCCCAATTTCAAGTTGGCCGCCAACATCATAGCTTCCATAACAGTGAAATATGGATCCACAATATCATTTTGCATGATGTATCGCGACATTTTGCGAAAGAGTCGCGGATCGCGGGGATTGCGATTGATGTTGATGTAACCTGAATAGTTGGAGATTCTGAAAACAATATTGAAAACCATGAATGTTGAAGAGATTTTTTTTTTGGAAATGTCAAATGGTGTTACCCAAATCCTGCTAATAAATTAAGTAACGTTGTTTTACCGGCTCCAGAAGGACCCATAATGGCTGTTAGTTCGTGGGACTTAAATTCACCGCTGATATTCTTTAGAATTTTCTTTTTACCTGTGAAACATAAATTATATACATTAAAATTGTAAAGTTCATCCGGGCCGAACTTCAAATACCCAACACCATAGAAAAATATTGAAAAATGTTGTTAAAATAAAAAAATTGATTATCGGGAGGTACCATTATATGCGCGTTGTAGAAAAACTTAAACCTATATACAATGTTCTTCCCCCCTAGCTAAAACTTATTGAGAACTACAAATATAAAATTTTACACAAATCCGTTACAAAATGCGGCTTAAATTTTGAAAATACTGAAAATCGGGAGGTAGGTCATTTCTATCCTTGCAGAAAATTTCGATTAAGGTCCACTGATTGGTATAGCCTCCCACACAACGGCTATACCAATTAGAGGACCTCAATCGAAATTTTTTGCAAGGTGAGAACTGACATAACCAAAACCCCAATTGAAAAGTTTCAGCTAATTTGGTTGGAAACAGTGGCAACAGAAACTTTAAAAAATACCGAAAATCTGAAGGAACCGTAATATGGGGGCTATACCTTAATTTGGACCAATTAGCTCATTTTCAATACCATTCAGCCTACATATATAGGGTGAAATGAAAAAACCGCAAACAACTTCAGACTGCTGTCATTTCTTAGCCACTTCCAGTGACAGGCTCATTATATTGTTTACAAGCGTACTTTTTGGTGCATTTTGGTGAAAATTTTCCAGAAAAAAAAGTTATTCGTAATGGAATTCAAGCGTGATAGTGTGATTTCTTTATATTTGGCTGGAAAACCACAAGTGGCTATCGTTAGAGCACTCCAGCTTTTAAATGTGAATAAATCTTTTGTGTCTTGTACCATCGCTCGTTACCGTGATACTGATAGCGTAGCCCGACGCCAAGGAAGTGGATGGAAGAAAACATCAACATCAGTGGAAATGGTTCGAAAAATAATGAAGCGACTTTATCGAAACCCGCGTCGCAGTGGCCGAAAAATGGCTCGTGAGCTGAACATATCACAATATTCCATTGGGCAAATATTGAAAAATGAGCTCGGGTAAAGCCATTGAAATTCAAAAAAGAACAAGAACTTACACCGCAACAGAAAGAAAATAAACTCAAAAGAGCTAAGGGGTTGTTTCGCTTCGCCGAAAGTGGGATGAGAAAACATTCGTTGTCCAGCAGTTTGTAAACAAAGAAAATGATCGTGTTTACTTGCCGAAGAGGTCAGCTGTAAATGTGCACCTTCGGTTGGCCACCAGAACTCAAGCGCCGGCCATGGTGAATGAGTGGCCCGCCATAACAGTCGATGGTCGATCTCCACTCGTATTAATCGACAGAATTAATCAGAATAAATGCCGAATATTATCGCGAAAATATTCTGGAGGGTGTATTAAAGCCTTGGGCACACAAACATTTTGGCCGCAGACCTTGGACATTCCAACAGGACTCAGCAACATCGCATTCAGCACGCACCACCCAAGAATGTTTACCAAATGAAGTTCCTCGCTTTATTTGCAGCGCACAATGGCCACCAAGATCTCCGGATACCAATCCGTTGGACAATAGTCCAACAATTGGAGTATTTTGGAAAGCAAGGTTGGCACTAAAAAATATCAAAGTGTCGATCACTTCAAGCAATCGCTTCGCCGGGAATGGGCCAAAATACCGCAGAGCAATCTAAATTTATTCTAAAATTTGATGCTATTTCCGAAATTGTTTGCTTTCATTCAATGTTGCTGTTGCAGAAAATTGTCTCTATGGTATGGCCCCATATAACCGACACACCAAATTTTTAGCATTTTAAAGTCAACAAATGAATTTTCCATTTCCGATTTTCCTGGCATTTCCACTTTAAAATGGAACTCACTCGAGTATGGAATCCAGATACTTTTATTTTCAAAGGATTCCATTACTTCATGGTGGATTGGTGATTATCGGTCCAAATTTAGATATATGTAGCTCACATATATATCCTCGACCGATTTAAATTTTATTGGGCGCCATATGTGTAAAATAAGCCCAAATAGAATGGATTTCCGCACATACCACCGAATTTAACCTAGAATGATGTATTTCAAATTTGGTGAAAATCGGTTCAGATATAGCCGTAGGTTCCACAAATGCAGCTCAGATATACCTCTGCGAAATATTGTCCGTTTTGATATGACGATTTTATGTTTATTGTGCACCGCATGGGTAATATCAGCTCATATTATATTAATATTGGCAAATTTGACAGAAATTAGCAAGGGTCACATTTGCGAAAATTTTGGTGAAAATAGGTTCAGATTAAGGTTCATTACGATAAATTCCGAATTTAACTAGCAAAGACACAAAAAAGGCTAACAAAATGCATTATTTAATCGTAATTAATAACTGTTCCAAAGATTGTAGGAGTACAGACACCCATTAACTCGCACCACAATATTATGTGTCAGGACAAGTTTACAACCAACTGTGCCTTCCAGGATAATTCTGCCGGTACAATATGGGTACCTACGAATGATAATGAAGTGTACTTTCCATTGGCATTAGGATAAGTATACAAAGTTTCGGGCCAATTCCGATGTATCAGGATAGTTCCATTGGTCAATATGCCTTCTAGGACAATTCTACCGGGACGAAGTATACGAAGTTCAGGCCAATTCCGAGGTATATGTTCATTTCGGGAGATATCCTTGGATCAGGATAATTCCATTGGCCAATATGCCTTCCAGGACAATTCTCCCGGCACAATATTGTTATCAACGGAAAGCTTATGAAGCGTACTATCCATTGGCATTTTGAAAAGTTTACAAAGTTCCGGCCAATTCCGATGTATATGGTAATTTCTGGAGATATCCTTTGGATCAGGATAATTCCATTGGTCAATATGCCTTCTAGGACAATTCTGCCGGGACAAAATGGGTACCTACCGAAAGCTTATGAAGTGTACTATCTTAGAGACATTATTCACCGGAGTTGTTTCGAATTTCATATTTTAAGTTCGGAATCGGTACTACAGTCTATGACAGAAAATTACTTATCCAGCACCACGTCTTCGTATAGCCCACATATAAAGGTTTTATTTGAACGTTATTTTTCGAAAAATTTTTTCTTTTTTTAAAAAATTTCAATTTTTTTCCGCATGGTGGCGAACCGGCCGAACTTACTGCATTTTTACTTGTTAACTCTACTTCCATAATTTTTTCAATTTTTCTTTCAGTTTAGAATAAAATTAATTTTGTCCCACAGTGTTATTAAATTCCACACTTTTAACTGACACATAACCAAAACGTCGGATTTCTCATTTTCCCATCATGTAAATTATACCCTTAATGAATGGTATAATGAGTTTATTCCCATCCAACTTAAAACAGTTTTCAATTTTCCCAACAATTCTGAGAAAAATAATTTCCATTCATTTTTCTTCAAAACCCAAAAAAGAAAACTTAAAAATCTACTCACCCTGATTAGCATCTGAGACACTGTAACTCAAATCACGAAACTCCAAATTGACCGCTGGCCATCGTGGCAGATATTTCAGACCATTGCGGTTGCTGCATGTCGAAATCCCATCGTCCGATGTTACAGGCAGATCCACACTGATGGCATTGATGTCGGTGCTGTAATTCAACGAGGTGCCACTGTGCGACTTGTAACTATCGTCCATTGAGTAAGTGCAGCCAATGTCTGTGGAGTCCATTGTTATGGGGGGTTTTGGTGGTGTCTGGGTTGCAGTAAAAATACGTCGTCTTCTAGGTTGCCAGCTGAATGTTGTAAGTGAACAAGTTGTGTTGAGACGGAACAGCGTGTGCGCTCTTGGCCGGCCTGCTGTGGCCAATGGTTGCAAGTTTAGTGTCGACTAAATTAAAAAATTGCGGTAGTTGATCGTCGTTGCTGTCTATTTTCTAGCATCAAATTTCAAAAATGATGAGAAATTATCTAAAATGAGACAGACAATAACAACAATCAGAATTAATTATAACTAGACGTTGTTGTGAAAATTATTGATTGATGGCTAAATAGATGCTGCTGGGATCTCTAAATGTAATGTTGAATAATGAAGTGTTAATTTCAATCGAGAATACAGTTTCAATTCAATTCAATTCAAATTTTTTTTATTCCCTACACCACATAGTGGTAAGGGTATCATGTCTTTGTGCATTTGTTTGTAACATGGAGAAGGAAGCCGTAGTTACTTTTGAGGATCTTCACAGAATCACTTTCTGAGTCGACTTATGCATGTCAGGCCCCTCCGTCTGTCCATGTATTTTTATGAACAAAATGCAGGTCGCATTTCTTATCCGATTGAGGTAAAATTTTCAAACCATATTTATTGGTCCAAGAATGAACCCTGGTAAAATTGGTGAGAATCGAAGAATGAAATGACAATTATCAGTCCAAATGACCCGAATTTTGGCACATCAGACCGAATTCAGTCTAGAAGCAAGTACATCAAATTTGGTGAAAATCAGTTTAGATATAGCTATAGCTCACATATTTATGTTTCATCCGATTTTCCACACATGGTTCCAAATATCAGATAGAACACAGAAATACCTCTGCCAAATGGTATCAAGATCGGTTCAGTTTAAAAGCAAGTATATCAAATTTGGTGAAAATCGGTTCAAATATAGCTTTAGCTCCCATATATATGTTTCATCCGATTTGGGAATTAACGTCCCTCATAATATGCACTTCACAAGAATGATATTTAGTACCAGTTATTAAATTCAGCTAGAAATACCTCTGCCAACATCGGTTCAGATTTGGATATAGCTCCCATATATATGTTTCATTCGATTTGGTCTTTAAGTCCGTCACATTCGTAATATGAACTCCACAAGAATGATATTTGGTTCCAGATTTCAGATAGAGCCCAGAAATACCTCTGCCAAACTGTATTAAGATCGGTGCAGATCTGGATATAGCTTCCATATAAATCTTCTACTGATTTGGGGTTAATAGTCCCCTAAATGGCCTATATCAGTCCAAATTACCGTAATTTTGGTACATCCGACCAAATTCAGCCTAGAAGCAAGTAAATCGGTTAAGATATAGCTATAGCTCCCATATATACGTTTCATCCGATTTGGGGTGTTAAGTTCTTCACATGCGTAATATGGACTCCACAAAAATGATCTGTGGTACCACATATGAGATACAAACCAGAAATACCTCTGCCAAATTTTATCAAGATCAGTTCAGATTTGAATATAGCTTCCAATATCAGTCCAAATGACCTGAATTTAGGCACATCCCACCGAATTCAGTCTCGAAGCAAGTAGATCAAATTTGGAAAAATCGGTTCAGATATAGATATAGCTCCCATATAGTCTAGAAGCAAATGCTTCAAATGTTGGTGAAAATCTGTTCAGTTATTCTTTAGAGCTCGAAAATACCTTTGCCAAATTTTATCGAGCTCGACTAAGATTTAGATATAGTTCCCATGTATATCCCTATTCCGATTTCGGGTTTATTGTGTAAATAATGGGTAATATAAGCCTATCCCTATTCCGATTTCGGGTTTATTGTGTAAATAATGGGTAATATAAGCCTAGTGAATTTCTGGACGTAGGTTTAAATTTTTTGGAGCTCGGCTTCGATATACATTTTTATGCCCGACACCATAGAATGGAGGGTATATTAAGTTTGTCATTCCGTTTGTAACACCTCGAAATATATATTTTAGACCGCACAATATATATTCTTGAGCTGCATAAAATTCTATGTCGATTTAGCGATGTCCGCCCATCTGTCCGTCTGTGGCTTCTAGCTTCCGAATGAAATGAAGTAGGTTGATAAAATTTAACTCAAATGTATATTAAATCTGCAGGACTTTTTGTATCGAAAATATGCCATGTAGGTCCAGGTCTTCGTATTGCCCCCATTTATCGGTCCTCCCTATATTTGGTATTTTGATGATTTTGGCTACATTATTCACCGGAATTGTTTCAGATTTGCTATTTGAAGTTTGTAATGGATGCCACAACCTACGACAGAAAATTGTTTGTGCAGATCGACGTCTTCGTATAGCACCCATATAACAATACCTCCCGATATTCGGTATTTGGATGATTTTGGCTGCATTATTCACCGGAATGGTTTCAAATTCCGCATTTGTTCTTCGTAATGACTACTACAACTTGTGGCAGAAAATTGCCTATGCAGGTCCAGGTATTCGTATAGCCCCCATATAAAGTAAGCTCCCTATATTCGGTATTTTGATTATTTTAGTGACATTATTTGCCAGAATTTTTTTCAGATTTCGTATTTGAAGTTCCTTATGGGTACTACATTGTATGACAGAAATTTGTCTATGCAGGTATAAGTCTTCGTATAACCCCCATTTATCGGATCCTCCCTTTATTCGGTACTTTTATGTTTTAGCGACGTTATTCACCAGGACTGTTTCAAATTTCCTATTTGAAGTCCCTAATGAGTACTAAAATCTATGACAAAAAAATTGTCAATGCTTGTACAGGTCCTCTCCATATTCGGTATTTCGATGGTTTTCCGACATTATTCACCGGAATCGTTTATTCGGTATTTTCAATATTTTAGAGTGTTTTATTTATTTTTTTAATACCCAAATTTGTTCCAAATAGTGGAGAGTATTCACAGTTCAGCCCGGTCGAACTTACTGTTATTTTACTTTACTTTTTTTTTTTTTTTTGAAAAAAGTGGTTAAAAAATTAAAATTTTTAGAATGTTATCTAGGAAATTTGGTAATGAGAAGTAAAGTTAAGCAATTTATATTTGATGGCGCCCAAGGTAAAAAAATTCATAAAATTGGATGAAAGTTTCAAATTGCAGCAGTTCCATATAAGGAATTATTTCCTGGAAAATGTCTCTAAAGGATATATATAAGGATATATTCTTAACTAATTGTCACCAATTTCAATGAGGTTTATTCTAGAGGCATCACGATGAACTGTATAAAAAATGCGTCCTGCATACGAATAACAAAAGATCCATTAAAAATTAAACTACTATGGAAATAATCATTTCTCCGTACACACATGTTATCGCTCCAAATGGACGAAATGAAAAAATGAAGAATAGGGGTTCAACAAAAAAATTTTTTTTTGGAACACCCTAATGTACATGTAAAATATGCATTCCTGTAGATTTTAATACCAAATGGAAACATTTTGAAAAATATGGGTTTCTTACAAAAAACAAAATATGATTTTTGGAACGCCCTAATGTACATCTAAAATATGCATTCCGCAGAAATTTACAGTCGGGTATTCAATTTTTTTCTATTTCTTATTTTTTAATTTTTTTTACATACAATATAATTAATACATATTGGTTCTCTCTTGTTTGCAAGTCAAATTAGTGAATAATTGTCTATGATTCCCATTGATTTGCTGTAAGATATTGCTAATTCCTTCTTATCTGAAATCATCGACAAATAATAAAAAATTTAATGGACACATTAAAATTATTTAGAAATAAAACTGAATTAATTACAATTTTATTGATATTTCTAATTTATGGACATTACTAATCAGGGTTTCAATAGAAACATTAGTTCTAACATATTTAAATTGAAAAAGGGTAGTTTATAAAACAGCAGAGGAACGTTAGAAGTTCAGGTGTAACAAATTTTTAATGTGCTTTCCAGTGAGCAGAATTTACACTGTGATACAAATCAAACAGTCGGGCGGGCCCTGCTCACTGGAAAGCACATTAAAAATTTGTTACACCATACCAATTATGAACCAAATAACATTGACGTATAGTACCTGATATGCTTAATATTAACAAATATTTATTGAAGCAATAAGATATACCGGACGTGTTTTGGTTGAATATGAAAAAAATCTATTCAATTTGTGCTGATATATACATATATGGTGAGCAATAACTGTAAAATCGGACAATGATGTATATCGAACCTACATAAAAATCTGAACCTATTTCGATAAAATTTGGCAGAGGTATTTTCGAGCAGTATCTGATACCCGCTATCAAATATTATTGCTGTGGAGTGCTTATTACGCATGTGAGCATATATACGGGCGCTATAGCTACCGGTTTTCATCAAATTTGATGTACTTGCTTCTAGACTGAATTCGGTTGGATGTGCCAAAATTCAGGTCATTTGAACTTATATTGACCATTTGGTACGGAATTAACCCGAAATCGGTTGTGGATACATATGAGAGCTATATCTAAATTTGAACTGATTCTCACCAATTTCGATGTGGCTTTTTCATCTCAATCGGATAATAAATGAGACCTGCATTTTGTTCACAAAAATACATGGACAGACGGACGGGCGAACGGACAGACATGCATAAATCAACTCGGAAAGTGATTCTATGAAGATCCTCAAAAGTAACTATGGGTCTACCTCGCTTCTTTTTCCATATTACAAACAAATGCACAAAGACATAATACCCTTACCACTATACGATGTAGGGTATAAATACACACTTCTTCTAATGTGCCAATTCTGGTTTGTGGGTGCCGGCAGATGATGAATATGATTTTTTTTATGGTTTTTATGGGTAGAGAAAATCAGTTTTTTTTTTGGATTTTTTGAAAGGTAACACTCGACCCTTTGAAAGAAAACAAAATAATAATAGAAATCCGTTGTTAAAATAGAAGTTATGCACGTTTAAAGAAACTCGGATTTTCTCTATATTTACCGTTATAAAATCAATTTTCGAAACATCTTTTCAAGGGCCTTCAAAACACATTTTTAGAAACATAGGGACTATCCTTTCAATGTCATCTTTTTAGTTAAATAAGAGCTCATAACGTAACCTTCACCCTAAAAAAAGCAAACATTTCAGATCAAAACATTATCAGCATTAAAATTGGGGAGGCTATGAAAGGCTTGGCCAATATTGACCACTTCCTAGCGTACCTAAGTCTGATATATATATTTCCAGGTAAATTTAGCCTATACCGACTTCTTTACATGA